TAGATCCTTTGGCTACGGCAGCCCCTACTGGTACAACAGGTACAGCCGTGGTGGCTGCTGGCCCTGCTAAACACAACGGGAAAATCCACCAAGCAACGTGCAAGTGAAAAACAAAATGCAGATTCACCAATGAGCAGAGGAGTGACAGCTTGGTGGAAGCTCTTGCTCGTCCTGCTGAGTGCAGTGCCTTCTGCAGGCTCCACACCTCTCCTTTTCTTTCCTTTCAATTCTTTCCTGATAAATTCATCAGCTCAAGGCTTTGTTATCTTCTGCTTTATCAAACTTGTGACTGAATGCAGTGAGACATTTAACCGTGGCTTTCAAAACACATTTGACTCTGACATCTTGGATATACCTTCTTGATACTGCAATATACTTTTATTCTTTTCATCGTCATTAAAATTCTGTTGCATCATTTAAAATAAGTGCCTGGTGGTTCTGTGTTCTCATCCTCTCTGAATTTGCCAGCTTTTCCGGATAAGGATGCCTGTTGTACATAACATTGTGCAAACCCTGCCCACATAGTGAAAGTCTCCATGAGGAGCCCTTGCTAAGCCTGTTTCACCACTGAATTGCAACAGCATGGTCACAACATGCTGGCCATAGATGAACACCAGCCATCTCTCCACATCATGTTATTAGACTCCCCACTCATGAGTTTGTGAGAGAATTCTTTGAACTACAAGCGACTGTTGTTGCTCTGAAAGTTGAGCTCTTGCTTGTTCCACTGCAGACTTCTCATCCAAGGTCGTACAAAAAAATTCACTGCCACAGCTCATGGAAGACTGGAGATAGCTATTAAATTAATTTCAGATTCTCTGATTCTCACACTCCAGCCTAGATCCAAGCTATTAAATTTTATTATTCTCCAAAATCCTGGCTGTGTGCAGATGACACTTCTTCAAAAGCACAGTAAGAACCATGTGCACCATTTCACAGTTTATCAGATTGAGTTCTTTGGTTTGGCACTTCTTTGGTTCTGTTTAGCTATTAAATCTAAATAGAATTTGTGTAAATATTATACAGGTAGCCTAAAACTGAACAAAAATACGTGGCATATCTTTTTGGGTTATCTGTAAGGCACGTAACCATCTCCTGATTCAAACAGATGCTTATCTCACAAGATAGTTTTCTTTACACGGCTCAGCTGCCAAAAGATCTTAGGCTACATGTTTTACTACCGTACAAAGTATGTCTAAGCATAATGTAACAGTGTTCAGGGAACATCCAACCAGAAACTGAAGGCAGAATATGAAGACAGAATATTCTTCAATATTCTGAAGAATATTCTAAAAGAAAAAAATATTCTTCTAAAGACAAGAGCTGCTATACATGTCCGGAAGGGACCTCACAGCTCACTTCTCAGCACTCATTAGCAAAGAAGTCAGCTATAAATCTGCCTTTTTTTTTGTTTTTATTGAGTTGTCTCTGGTAAATTGAATAGCTCTTCCAGCAAGACCCACAGCTTCCACCCTGGTAACAAGACAACAGCCACAAGGGATGTTCTGCTTGCTGCCAGGACCTGAAAATGTGTCAGGAAATCCGCTGTGGTAGAGATTACTGTACCAAAAATTCCCAGAACAAAAAGAGCCCTTAAGTGTGGGTGCTACCAGAGATCCATCTATGCTATCCTGAAGGAAGGAACTTAACCTGTGGACTGACAAGGTAATGACAATGGATGGTGGCTGAGCCGCTGCCCTCGGGTCAGGGGAGTCAGCTCCTTGCAGCTCTTTGCACTGGTGATGGACATGAATTGGCCAATTTGGAAATGTGACTAAGTGTAAAGCTAACACGGCACAAAACCCCTGGAGCAGGAAGAAGAGCTTGGATCTCATGGAAACGGGAAAGGCACAGCAGTCTGGATCCTCTGCAACACTAATTTAGTTCCAGATCCATCCCACATCATTGTAGCCACCCTGCCAAGATCTACATGCTGCTGTGGATGTAAATCCTCATATTTGTAGAAGCCCTCCAAGAAAAAACATTTTTAAGTGATCATAGAATCATTTCAGAAAACCTTGAAGATCATTGAGGTCAATCTTTAACCCGACACTGCCAGGTCCCCGCTGCCCCGTGTCCCTCACCCCACATCTCCACAGCTTGGGAACCCCTCCAGGGGTGGGGACTCCACCACTGCCCTGGGCAGCCTGGCACAGCCCTGGGCAACCCTCCAGGGCAAGAAATTGTTCCTCATGGACAACCTCAGCTTCCCTTGGTGCAATTTGAGGCTGGTTCCTCTTGTCCTGTTGCTTGTTCCTTGGGAGAAGAGGCCACCCCTCACTGATGGTTAATCATTGCTTAGTGGAAACACAGGAATATAGAAAGTCATGTGTTTCCTCAGACAAATGTCTGTTCTTATCCTGTACCTTGTCTCTGATAAGTCATTTCTGTGTGGTCTGATGTTCAGTGTAGAATTCCCGATGCATTATTGAATGAACAGTCCGAAGGCTCATGTGGTTCCTAGTACTCTGGGGGCCCTTTTTGCTATGAGTAAGGAAGCTTTGCTTACATCCCTTTCAAGCTTTGGCTTTCTTCCATACAAACCAGTTTGCATCTGGAAGACCAAGTAATTATCTATCGAGAAGATATTGCCTCCTCCTAAATGAAAAATGAGGGCTAACTTAAATTTACAGAAAAAGAACAGTCTGATATCTAGAAAACTGCTGCCTCTGGGAAGAAGGTGGCAAGAGAAGTAAATACCAGGCAGTTTTGAGGAGGGACTTTTTATACATTTCCTCCAAGTGCCAGAAGAATCTGAGCCTCCCATTAACATCAGCCAATGTTTATCACACACGGTTCACCTCAAAATGATGAAAGAGTTTTGCTCAATATTTATGTTTATTAGTTGATACAAATTCTCACGCTGCATGAATTGCAAATTGCAAAATAAATATTTCTTTCATCTTAGCACTTAATTGGCAAGATTCATTCCTGGTAATGTTCCATTAACTACATTAGAATGACAGGAGGAATTATGCTCGCTTCATTTATTCACCTCTTATTTTATTGGCTGACATAATGATGGTGGCTCAAATGTTAATTATAATTGTGATGTGCTTTAATCTGCAGGGTTTCCCCCCCCTTTTTCATACTTCTTTGCAAAATCAGCACCCCTTACATGAAGCTGGAATTCAGATTTGGGCACTTTTCAGCGGCAAAATCAAATTATACACTGCAAAGGACATTTTCAAGTCACCCAGACCCATGCCTTGCCTCTCAGACTACCCAGTTCTTCAGTTTATTCACATTTTAGAGGTCAATTCCTTGGTCACAATACAGGTAAACAGTTCCTTAGCCAGATTATGGGCAGCTTGTTGAATATATATATTTTTTTAGGAAGCTGAGTATGTATTTAAAACACAGAAGAAAGGTAGAGAACCCACAGTTAGACTAAGAAAGTCCCGGGGAAAGCTTTAAGGACATGAGAACAGAGGCAGATGTTGCAGATCTTCGTGCTACAAACACTGAATTAATACAACAGCAGCACTGAAGGAGCCTACACACAGAGAAATGAATAAAAAACTAAATTATTATAAAAGAAAATCAGCTGAAATCCTGAAATTAGAGCTGGTAAAAGGAAGAGGACGAGTGCACTTGACCAGCACAATTTGATAAATATATTTTCAAAATGCTGAGCTGTTTGCATCCAACCACATGCTTATAACAATGACACACCACTTCATGAGAAAACTACTAAGGAGGGTTTGGGAAGTGCTTAAAAACACACACGAAAAGAATTTGAACATCCTTTGTATTATTGCTCTTGTAATCCCCTGGGGACATCTTAAAACCTTCAAAAAAAGAACATAATTGAAGTATAACTTCTGGTAGAAACATTGCAGTGTTTATTTAACAAACAACCGATCCGTAGGCAAATGAGGATTTTTGAGGCTGGACCAGTTTATTACACAGAATTTCAGAGTATGGGTGGGACACAAACCTTCCCTGGATGTTTCAGCTGAGCTTGTTGTCTCCAAAGTCAATGAAAGCAAAATTATTATGCTTTGATGACGATACCAGTTCTGGTAAGTTAAGCATCTGAGATGGGATGAATTGTCTTGCAGAAATTCTTGTCCCTCCCCACTAAGTATTGGGGAAGCCTGAGCAATTTCCAGTGACAAGTCATCTGAAATCTTGGCAGCCAGAACTGCAGCCATAGGCACTCTGCAGGTGATGTCCTGCTAGTCAGGAAAAATAAGAGAAAAAAAATATAATCCGTTGTTGCCATAACTATTTCTCGGATAATTTTGCTGCTTTTCCTGCCACTTACCCAGTCAGTCTGGGAAGGAAACACTCAAAAATTGGTCCCATGACATTATCCAACGAAACTGTAGCTCAGTTTTTTTGTAAGGTGAAGGAATAGATCTGTTACAGAGACTGAATTAATGCAGTGGTGAACAGAAACCTCATTTCCTAAAGAAACTGAGAAATTTGCGCCTGCTCCACCACTGTTTTGTGTTGTGTCCTCCTTGGACTTGTGCAATGTCAGTGCAGAGCAGCTGTAACTATTCAACTGTTTGCCTTTGCAGCCATTCCACGTTGCTGAACCTCTAAGATAATATCTGTGTGTCTTTGCAGATTCCAGGTGAAAAATAAGGAAAAAAATACTGATACCCCTTCAGGGAAAACTTCAGTCTTTGGATTAAACCCTGTTTTGGGTACTAAAATACTGTCTTTTTTTGCTGCCCTTGCCAAGCAGCAAGGAAAATTCAGAATTTCTAAATCAAAGAGGATTAGAGACTGTCCATGATTCCATGGGTCCAGGACATCTCTCCTGTTTCATGGCTGTGGGTGGGAAAAGGATCAGAAGGTGTCTTCTACCTCACTGAACGTTTCATTGCAAAACGTGTGAGTAGATTAGATCACAGCCAAGATCTGAAACACTTAAACACAAACATGTGTATGACAGCAGGTTACAGCTCTGATTAAACTCATTATGAGAAGTTAATGAAGGAAGTGCTAAATAAATAGAACCAGTTTAATTCCTCCAGCGAGCAGGGTGGGATGATACCAGCAAGAAGCTGGTCAATTAAGCTTCAAGATGAAAGAGGACTGGGAGCTGGAATGTGCATATCGTGCTAATTCAGAGATTTAGGGTGATTTTGCAAACAGCAAGCAAAAAGTGTTTCATCACTTTGGGAAGTTATACGTGCTTCAAATTTGGGCTGGTTGGTGATTATGACTTCATGCGTGCCTCAGACCCCCCCAGGCAATCCCAGGTGCTGTATAAAAGGAGCAGCTACACAGACCTACCCCATCTCCTGCTCCTGTGTACTCTCCTCTGCTTCAGGTAAGGTTGATGCTGTTTCATTTCTTTCTAAAAGCCAGAACATCTTTGCACTGCAGCTTAGAAAAGTGTACACTACTATTGTATTAGAGGTTTTAGGGGTATTTTTTAATTCTCTTCCCTTTTCTCTCCTTTTTTTTTGTTTCAGTATGTTGCATTCCTGGTAGGCTTTAGGAGTCAAGACCAGGGTTTGAGGCATTAATTTCAGGTTAATTCGTATTTGGGCACTCTTGTGCTGGTGGCAGATGGAAAATGTAGGATGGCATAAGCTTTCAAATGCAGAATTCTCCTGTACCACTTCACCTCATGACTGAATCAGAGACATGCAGCCATATCCTAAGCTGTTTAATGACCCAGCTGAGGAAAGAATTAATTCCCCACTATCTACATGGGGAATTTTGTTGAAAATAATCCTAGCTTGTATTGAGTTTTTATGGGTAGGTAAAAACTTAATCCTTCTTATTTTAAACCCTAGTTATTTTCACCAAGAGACTGTGTGCCCAAATATGCTGTTAGCTTCAGAAAGAGCAGTTAGTTAGAAGAGACTGAGGTGAAAAGTAAAATCACTGAACAGAATTAGTTCTGTTCCAGCTCAAATCAGGATAATAGGGACATAGACTGGTGGCCTCATGCAGCATGTCTGTCATATATCTGTTTTTAAAGCCAGATCCAGATTAGCTCTTCAGATACCTTGACTTCAGTGATTTGTTTCTCTGCATTTCAGGGCTACTTTATGAACAATCATATTTCCTCTTTTTTTTTTTTTTTACTGAAAAAGTGCCAAGCCACAAGTTTTTGTAAGGAAACATTTAGCTGGAGTAGTTTGCAAACTGTATTTTTATCAGATGAAGGAAATTGGCTCCTTACATTTTACCAACCTGCTCGACACTTTAGAAGAAATTACACTGCTATGCCAAGAGATATTTGGATAGAAATATTTTGTGGGGTGTATTTATTTGTTTCATCAAGTACATGAACCTGTCCTCAGGCCCAAATGCTCTGGGGTTTTCTCAGGGGGATTATAGAGATTAAAAGAATGCAGAACTAAAAGGCAAAAGCTGGAAGTTTATTAACCCAAAGAGCTTGAAAAGAAGCAGGGACCAGGAAAGAGAAGGAAATGTGGTTCTTAACACCATCCCATCTCTCCCAAGACGATTCAATGTAATGAGGAGGACAGATCCTAGAGCTCCTGCCTTCCAGTCCACATCCACTGGGGAGGAGCGCTGGTGTTTTAGTAGAAAATGTGCTGCTGACACTGTTCCTCTGGGAGGGAACATGAATCAAAGAGAGAAAAAAGCAACAGCAATTCCAGAAGTTTTGGTGGATGTGACAAGTGCAGGGATTAGTGGATGGGGAAGCTCAGAGCAATGCTGATTGGCAGGAAGGTTTACGTGCGTTGTGCATCTGCTGATCATTTTGCCCGTTCCTCAACAACTCGGCACCAAGCCTCGACCTGTTGTTCCAGTAGATCTTGTACTTTGCCTTACACAGCTCTGTGCTCTGTGTTTCAGGATCGCTGTCATCCCTGCCGCCAAGATGTCTTGCTACGACCTGTGCCCCCCCAGCAGCAGCATCGCCTGCCCCCAGCCCATCGCCAACAGCTGCAACGAGCCGTGTGTCCGCCAGTGCCCCGACTCCACGGCCGTCATCCAACCACCCCCCGTGGTCGTCACCTTCCCCGGCCCCATCCTCAGCTCCTTCCCCCAGCAAGCTGTGGTGGGCTCCTCCGGAGCCCCCGCCTTTGGGGGCTCCCTGGGGCTGGGGGGGCTCCA